GGGGGGGGGGTGGTGATATTTTGCTGTTTATTTATATGATAATAATCACACAGATAGAGCAGTAGATTATAAGTAAAATGTTACATTTGCAAGGGATTCATGCTGCCAGGGAATGGTTATGACCTTATAACAGAAATATAACATTACGTGTCTTTGCACACACACAGTGGCACCACAGTCAAAGCACACAATACACACAGCTAACACAAAAGGAGTAGAGAAGGCAACGAATCGAGTCCGTATCAAGTCGTTCCGGCCTCTCCCGGTCCGGCCCCCTAGTAGTTCCGGCCCCTTCCCGGTCCGTCCCTAGTAGTTCTGTCCCCTAGTAGTTCCGGTCCCTTAGTCGTTCCGGCCTCTATATAGTGTTTTCCTTTTTACTAAAATATATACTTAATGTAATACATTATATATACAAAATATATGTAATGATAATATATATTATAAATTTAAACTTACATATACGTAATGATAATATATCTAACAAATATAACTAACATATACGTAATGATAATATATCTTATAAATATAACTAACATATACGTAAAGATAACATATCTTATAAATATAACTAACATATACGTAATGATACAATATATCTTACAAATATAACTACCATATACGTAATGACAAAATATATCTAACAATTATATCTAATATATACGTTATAATTATAAGTAATATATCTTATGGTAATAGTCATTACTTATGGTAAAAATTCAACATCTGTCATCAACTAAAATTAAAAACAACCTCGGTAGACTATACACCCATGGTGTTTGTACTGCGTTTTCTAGAAGCCTTACAGTTTCCAACGCACGAGGTAATAAGATAAACAAAAGACAGTGATTGTAATGTGTCTTTAAAAGCAATCTTACTCCATATGTTTACACGGGTGTATTTTGTTTTAGACAACATGTAAAATGAAAAGACAACAAATGTACAATTTTTAATTTCATTTATTTGAATAAGTTACATGAATTATCCATTATGTAAATAAATATAATTTAAAATTTAATTCCAAATAAACATGAATCATATATACAATATATGAGGCCGGAACGACTAAGTGTACGGGGCCGGACCGGGTAAGGGCTGGAACTACTAAGGTCGGAACGACTAGGGACGAAACAACTCTGGGGCCGGAACGACCTGTATTCATCGAGTCAACTCCAAGGAAACCACACTACCAGAGTAGACCAAATCCTTATCCTCATACTTACTCGACTATTTTCCAATCAAATTTTTAGAAATCTGTTCCATGTAAAACCTAAGTATACCAGCGCAAATGAAAGAAATAAATGTACCTAATATAAGCAAGAAAGGTGACAGATCTAATACCTCAAACTGCAGACCATTATGACTTACATCGGTGACTTCAAATATCTTCAAACATATTGTAATTTCACAGGTGATGGGACTTGTACAACAAGCTCCTTCACATAGCATTAGAAGAAACACAGCTATTCCTTACTAGAGACGACATCAACAGGTAGGTCAACAACAAGGAACTAAGTGGAGTTTGCCATATACCTGATATTGCCAAAGCCTTTGACAAAGTCACACACCAATGCCCGACACAAATATACACTTTCATGAGATACAGGAAACAACGAAGCATTGAATCAATACTAATAGTAGTAGAAGGTAAAGCATCAGCATCATTGGCATTTACAGCAAGGGTACCACAGGGAACAGTTACCAGAAATAAAACTCTTAACATTTACCATTGACCTTGCTGACCGCATCAAATCAACTATCAAAAAATACTTTTATATATAATAAGTATAACTAAGCCAGACTTCAACCACCATGCAAGCCACCAACAAGAAATACTACAGGACAAGTGTCAGATGAAAGGACAGACATTGAAGTATCTAGGAGTAAAACTATCTACAAGACAAAAACCTGGATTTTTTTATATGAACTAAACTACAACTACAGCAAGTAAAGGAATGAGCTGGCAGCAGCTACAGACTTTACAGACCAAAACGAGAGTGCAGTACCAAGACATGGAAACCACACAATGAATTCAACAAGAAGACCGTGTACAGAAGGCAGAACATGATTCTTCTTCATCAAATAGTAACCACACAGTTACAAGGAACCAGAGAGAATAACGCAGATGGTAAAGGACCTGGACACTGAAACACACGAGCAAAAGAGTAAACATCATTCAAATAAGTGCTAGCCCTTTCAAAAGTAGGGTCCTTAGCAAGTGATTAATTCAGTAACAATAAAAACATTAGACAAATGTGGTCCTTTGCAGATTTGTGTTTATATTAGTACAAAAATTAAGTTAACAATAACATAATCACTGAGGTGGAAGTCTCAGCCATCTTCCATCCTGTTTTCTCTTATATGAGGAGAAGCAGCTACCTTTAGTTTTCAATCTTGACACCCTATACACTTTTATACAAGGTTAGCCAATGTACAAAGATACTTGTTTATCCCTTTTACCATAGGTTGTCAAACCACCAAGCACCAACAACATCATCTACCTCACCTGTTCACAGTCAGGGTGACAGTTAGGAATGGGCTGGGAGGAATTTCTGTATGTTAAAATTTAAATGCATAAGACTCCACACTGCATATTAACATGATATTTTATATACATTGTCACCCCGTTACATCCTAATTGACCGCAGATTTTATCAAGCTCTCATTTGAACTAGCTTTAAACCTTATGCTGCAGTTGTGTACCAAGTTCAGTATCTTTGTACTCTGTCAAACAGACCAGTACTAGGTTCAGTGTCTGTGTTCTGTGTCAAGCAGACCTGTACTGGGTCAAGTAGGTCAGTTCTTTGTCCAGCAGACCTGTACTAGGTTCAGTGTCTGCGGTCTGTGTCCAGCAGGCCTGTACTGGGTCAAGTGGGTCAGTTCTTTGTCCAGCAGACCTGTACTAGGTTCAGTGTCTGCGGTCTGTGTCCAGCAGGCCTGTACTGGGTCAAGTGGGTCAGTTCTTTGTCCAGCAGACCTGTACTAGGTTCAGTGTCTGTGTTCTGTGTCCAGCAGACCTGTACTAGGTTCAGTGTCTGTGTTCTGTGTCCAGCAGACCTGTACTGGGTCAAGTAGGTCAGTTTTTTGTCCAGCAGATCAGTACTAGGTTCAGTGTCTGTGTTCTGTGTCCAGCAGACCTGTACTGGGTTCAGTATGTCAGTTCTATGTCCAGCAGACATGTACCTGGTCAAGTAGGTCAGTTCTTTGTCCACCAGATCTGTACTGGGTCAAGTAGGTCAGTTCTGTGTCCAGCAGTCCTGTACTGGGTTCAGTGTCTTTGTTCTGTGTCCAGCAGACCTGTACTAGGTTCAGTGTCTGTGTTCTGTGTCCAGCAGACCTGTAATAGGTTCAGTGTCTGTGTTCTGTGTCCAGCAGACCTGTACGAGGTTCAGTGTCTTTGTTCTGTGTCCAGCAGGCCTGTACTTGGTTAAGTAGGTCAGTTCTTTGTCCAGCAGACCTGTACTGGGTTCAGTATGTCAGTTCTATGTCCAGCAGACCTGTACTGGGTCAAGTAGGTCAGTTCTGTGTCCAGCGGTCCTGTACTGGGTTCAGTGTCTTTGTTCTGTGTCCAGCAGACCTGTACTGGGTCAAGTAGGTCAGTTCTGGGTCCAGCAGACCTGTACTGGGTCCTGTATCTCTGTTCTGTGTCCATCAGACCTGTACTGGGTTCAGTATGTCAGTTCTATGTCCAGCAGACCTGTACTGGGTCAAGTAGGTCAGTTCTTTGTCCAGCAGACCTGTACTGGGTCAAGTAGGTCAGTTCTGGGTCGAGCAGACCTGTACTGGGTCCTGTATCTCTGTTCTATGTCCACCAGACCTGTACTGGGTCAAGTAGGTCAGTTCTGGGTCGAGCAGACCTGTACTGGGTCCTGTATCTCTGTTCTGTGTCCATCAGACCTGTACTGGGGTCAGTGTGTCAGTTCTATGTCCAGCAGACATGTACTGGGTCAAGTAGGTCAGTTCTTTGTCCAGCAGATCTGTACTGGGTCAAGGAGGTCAGTTCTGTGTCCAGCAGACCTGTACTGGGTCCTGTATCTCTGTTCTATGTCCAGCAGACCTGTACTGGGTCAAGTAGGTCAGTTCTTTGTCCAGCAGACCTGTACTAGGTTCAGTGTCTGTGTTCTGTGTCCAGCAGACCTGTACTGGGTTCAGTATGTCAGTTCTATGTCCAGCAGACATGTACTGGGTCAAGTAGGTCAGTTCTGTGTCCAGCAGACCTGTACTTGGTCCTGTATCTCTGTTCTGTGTCCAGCAGACCTGTACTGGGTTCAGTGTCTTTGTTCTGTGTCCAGCAGACCTGTACTAGGTTCAGTGTCTTTGTTCTGTGTCGAGCAGTCCTGTACTGGGTCAAGTAGGTCAGTTCTTTGTCCAGCAGATCTGTTCTGGGTCAAGTAGGTCAGTTCTGTGACCAGCAGACCTGTACTGGGTCAAGTATGTCAGTTCTGTGTCCAGCAGACCTGTACTGGGTCCGGTATGTCAGTTCCATGTCCAGCAGACCTGTACTGGGTCCGGTATGTCAGTTCCATGTCCAGCAGACATGTACTGGGTCAAGTAGGTCAGTTCTTTGTGCAGCAGATCTGTACTGGGTCAAGTAGTTCAGTTCTGTGTCCAGCAGACCTGTACTTGGTCCTGTATCTCTGTTCTGTGTCCAGCAGACCTGTACTGGGTCAAGTAGGTCAGTTCTGTGTCCAGCAGACCTGTACTTGGTCAAGTATGTCAGTTCTGGGTCCAGATGACCTGTACTGGGTCCTGTATCTCTGTTCTGTGTCCAGCAGACCTGTACTGGGTCCTGTATCTCTGTTCTATGTCCAGCAGACCTGTACTGGGGCAAGTAGGTCAGTTCTGTGTCCAGCAGACCTGTACTTGGTCATGTATGTCAGTTCTGGGTCCAGATGACCTGTACTGAGTCCTGTATCTGTGTTCTGTGTCCAGCAGACCTGTACTGGGTCAAGTAGGTCAGTTCTGTGTCCAGCAGACCTGTACTGGGTCAAGTATGTCAGTTCTGTGTCCAGCAGACCTGTACTGGGTCCTGTATCTGTGTTCTGTGTCCAGCAGACCTGTACTGGGTCAAACATGTCAGTTGTGTGTCCAGCAGACCAGTACTGGATCAAGTAGGTCAGTTCTATGTCCAGTATTCTTACATGGTGAGAATTATTCTTGGAGGAAGATGGTATTCAATTGTAAAATCGTGATTCCTTCCCCAAACCCAGGGGCCAGGGTGGTGCCCCAAAGAAAAAACTAACCAATATTTCAAAATTCTTCCACTTGAGATTCAGAGGTACTATAGTCAATTTCCCTCATGGATGGAAAGATCATCAGGCCTGTATGTAAATTGCAAATTTCAGTACCCCCGGGCTATCCATTCTCCCTTGGGGAGGGGGTCAAGTTTACTAGAGTTTATATAGGGAAATAACACTTTTGTGTATATTTTGTTCATTTTCAGTAGGAAATTATTCTTACTATTCTTACTTGGGAAGTTGGGTAGAATCATCCTTGGAGGAAGATGATATCAAATTATAAAATTGGGATTCCTGCCTCAACCCAAGTGGCCTGGGTGGGGCCCCAAAGTGGAAGTTAATCAATATTTCAAAAATCTTCTCCTAGAGACCCAGAGGTACTACAATCAGTTTCTCCGTTCTCCTTTATATAGTTTATATAGGGAAATAACACTTTTTGGCATATTTTGTCAATTTTTAGCTGGAAATTATTAATACTTGGTTAGAATGATTATGATGCCAGATGGCAATTAGATGGTATGAGAAAATCAGATGCTGCCCCATCTCCAGGGGCTGGAGGGGGGGGGCCCGAATGGGGTAAATGGTTAAAAGTTCAAAACTCTTCTTCATCAGACTCAGATGTGTTACAAACAAATACTCTTCATAGATACAAAGGTCCTTAGGTGCATTATCCATTTGAAAAAATAAGATCTGTCCTTGTCACAGGGGCTGGAGGGGTGGGGCCAAAAAGGGGAAAATGGCTGATATTTAAAAAACCTCTGCACTCAGATGGTAGAAGAATCAAATTTCCTTTTTTGGATGGAAATGCCATTAGGTGCATTATATAAACTGTTAGTTATATTACCCTTTGGTAATCTGTTCCCCTTGGTTTATATAGGGAAAATCGCTTCTGACTATATCTTGTCCATTTTCAGCAACAAATAATTCAAACTTGGTTGGAATAGTTATAATGAAATTGAAATCAAATGGTATCAGAAACTAAGATCCTGTCCTATCCCAGGGGTTGGCCTGAGAGGAAAATTTGCTAAATAATAATAGATATTATATTTCTCAATAGCAAAATAACGTATTTGAATAGTTTTTACAGTTCTTATCCTATGGTGACATGGCGAGTATTGTATTTCACTTTGTTTACATGTTGATTTCCACATCACATTTCAATAATGAAATTGAGCTACCAGTACCTATGATATAACTTAGGTGACCACTAAGGCCCTTGGACCTCTTGTTAAAAATGTAATAGGGTAATGGAACCCTCCTATCAGAATATTTTGGGATAAGTTCACCCTGTGAGAAAATATCTCCTCCCAAAATAGCTTTATTGATGTCCCTATTTATTCAGGAGATACTTTACAAAAAAAACAGGACATGTAAACACATTTTTGATGATGATTAAAATGAAACCCCTTCTGTTTCTAGTCTACATGGACCAACGTTGTAGCGAGACCCTGAATATGACACAGCTTCAGGTGGAGTCGGCCAAACTGAAGTTGACAAGATGGCATAAATACAGGAACAATATGGCATGTTACCTGACCATTGAAGCCCCTTATAACAAATTGCTTATGATCACATTCCGGGACATTGACATTAAGAGTGGGGTGTTTGGTCGCTGTGATGGAGACAGACTCCAGATCTTTGATGGAAGGGACTCATCAGCTAATATGGTTGGTGGTAAGTTTCAGGATTTTAAAAGATCCCTTTCAGTTCCGTGGATGGCAGCTGAAGTTAACTTATGAGATAACTTTTTGTTTCTACACTTAACATAAGATGCTTTGGTTAAGTTTATGTACATTTCCATCCAGTCCTATAGTATGAACCGGTAATGTATCTCACATTTTCTCCTAAAATAAAATTACAGTTATAATTGTTTCTGCAGAAACATTTGTTTGTTAAGTGGTAACTATAATATTTTCCTACATACTTTCTCTTCTTCTCCTTGTAAAATATGTCTAACAATGTATGACTGCATTTGAACCTTAAATATTCATTAATGTATTTGAACCTCTAAATAAATGCCCCCTGTTTGTAGATATTTATACATTACTGCATTTGAACCTCTAAATAAAGGCCCCCTGTTTGTAGATATTTATACATTACTGTATTTGAACCTCTGTATAAAGGTCAAATGTCTACCTAGTTCCTATAAGTTATTATACATATACAAGTTTGAATGATACTTAATTTTCCAACAGTTTTAATATCAATCCTATTGTAGGGTTATGAAACAAAGAAGAAATGACTTTCTGCTATATCGTCCTACTGAAAATTTGTAAAATGTTACCTTGGTAATTGTAATACTACTGAAGAGATCTGCATTTGTAATATATTAGACAATTTGTGATTATCAATTCCAATAATCCACTAAGAAAGACAAATGTTACATAAGTAAGTGATCTGATAATAATCATTCCTTGTTGTATTAACTGTGTTGATAAGTTTTAACATGCAATGATAATGAAGGTCTGACCTACAAGTTGTGTGGTGAGCGGCGTCCAAAGGGAGCGTTCTACACGACACAGAGGTACCTGACATTCCTGTTCCAGAGTGACTCGTTCTTCACTGATGATGGATTCAGTCTTATCTTCACCTCCTTCCATACAGGTAAAATTATGAGATGTTTTCAAAATGTTTATTCAGGTAAAAAGAAACATTCACATATAAAAAAGATTTCTAAATAAATACTTGGTATATAAAAGTAATGAACCAATTTGAACGAAACTTTCCAGATATGATAACTACCACTTGAAGTTGTGCATCCAGGTATTATTATTCACTCTGACCCTTTTTTACGAAGTTATGGCCCTTTGTTGGGGAAAAAACCTGAACCTTTTTGTCCGGACAACTCCGTCTAAAGTTTTAGATCAATTTCAACGAAATTTTCCAGATATGATAACTACCACCTGAAATTGTGCATCCAGGTATTATTTTTTCATTCTGACCCTTTTTTACGAAGTTATGTCCCTTTGTTGAAAAACACGAGATTACCGGTAGACAACTCCTCAAAGACTATGCGGCCAATTTCAAACGAAGTTTTCAGATATGATAACTACCCGCTGATGTTGTGCATCAACATATTTTTATTTGCAACGCTTTGCCTTAGTTAGGCTTTAGCAGTTCTGGTTTATATAGGAGCGGGGGTATTAGTTAGCCTTTGGCTTACAGTTCTAGTTTTATTTTGCATCATGTAATATAAACCAAATAAGATAAACTGTGCCATTCTCTACAAAGGTACAAGGCTTAACAATTTCATAGCATTTAAGGCTAATAAATTCAATAAAACAATACAATTTTATAATGTGATGTAATAAGAATCAGTAATGAAAAGGATCCATGCATTTGCCGCTTATCAAAACAGCAACCCCAGACATTTCAGTCAGTACATTACAAATGAGTTACATACCGGTATATATGTGGACATGTTTAAACCTTGGATTTGTTTTTTTGTCAGGAAGCTGCTTATCGTCAGAGACAGCTTGTAAGAGGGGCCAGTGTATATCCAAGTCTTTGGAGTGTGATGGGTATAACCAATGTGGAGATTCAGCTGACGAATGTATGGTCAAAGGCGGACCCATTGCTGGAATCATTGTGGCTGTCTGTATTGCCATTGCAGTCATCGTTGTGATAATTGTGTGCTGGCGTCGCCGCAGGGCTTCCCGTGGTTCTGTTATCAGAGTAAGGATGGTTGTGTCAAAACATTGCTATTTCTATACTTGCATGCTAGTCTCAAGATCATCAGTAATGTAAATATTCTATTTTATAGTAGTCTGGACCATGATTTTATTTTTAGGTATTTGGTTTATGATGAATGTTTTAAGTCTGTATTGTACTACATTTGGTAATGTATATTTAGGGGGATATTGTATATAAAATCTACTAATTGATTTAGTCTTTCATTGAAATTTTTCAAAATGTTGGTAATATTGTTATTTTTAATTCCAGTACAACTCACCAGCTGAACAGGCGACTGTGATACCACCCCCATGCTCCTACCCTCCTCAGCCGGCCCCCGTCCCTGCTCCGCAAGCCTACCCACAGGCACCCTATCAGCAGCCAGCACCACAAGGCTACCAACAACCGCCACCCCAGGGCTACCCACAGCCGCCACCTCAGGGCTACGCACAGCCTCCCCCACAAGGCTATCCACCAGCTCCCCAGCCCTATCCCATGGGACCACAAGCTTACCCACCACCACAGCAGGGCTATCCACAGCCTCCCAGCTACAATGATGCCACACAGAACCCATACCCATATGGAGCTCCGGGGCAGACACCCTATCCCCCGGAACCAAAATAAAGGATAGATGGTAATGGGGACATTGGCATAGAAACCAAGACAAGATCACTGATGTATTACTTTGCCATGAAAAAACATAAAACAGAATTTGTGTGGCAGCAAAATTGCTGGAATCGAGAGCATCAGGTAGTTGTGAAATTTGTATAAGAATACCCAGAGCAATACTATTCATGTGACAAATGTTACCGAAAATTCTCTCAGAAACTCAACTCATGTTACTCAGTTAAGTCCTATAATATTTCTTTACTTACAGTGAATTGGACATTTTCAGGGTTTACAATAACATTTTAAGCCATTTCAGGCATGCAATATTTAAGTCCCAGCCCTTGTTCCAAATACCTTAATCTATAAAACATTTCATAAAATGGAGCAAAAATCCCCTTCCTGAAGTTTCCAGGGCAGTTTACAGATAAACACTCCTAACATAAAAATCATTCTTCTAAATAACGTTTGTCAGAACATTAAAATGTTGTTAGAAGATGTAATGTTTAATGTCCAGTTCATTGTTAGGACTAGACAAATGTATTCATTCCCTTGATAACATACATACCATAAATCATCTTCGCAAACGTTCCTTAGCTTCAGATGTGCCCTGAACTTAAGCAATGATTTCCCAATGGGGAAAGTTAATTAGAAAAACAATGTTAAGGTGATTTTTTTTATATCAAAGCCAGGTAAGTAAACCATACCCATGAAATCTGGTACAAATTATGTCCAACAAAACCATAAATTGTGCATAAGCACAACATCTTAAATTACCAATGTAAAGTGAATAAGATATTTTGTACTCTGTTTTGTTACAAAAAATGAATAATTTCTAGAATATATGTTATTCTGATGATGTTAATAATTTATGATTTTTTTCTGTCATCTGTTAACTGTTGTGAAGATAAGAACTTCTAAATATACTGATTAATAAATCATTGGTGTCGAGGGGGTTAGGGTGTATCTTAATTCCAGGGTGATGACTGACCTTAAATACATTAAGAGACAGACAGTAATGTATAGAAGCTGCCAATGTGTGAATCAATTCAAAATAAAATATATATCACCTGTCTTTCTCTGTAAAGTCACTTTCTATGTTTATTGTGGCAAATTACGCACTGGATATGTATATAACGGCAATTGCCCTTCAGTAAAGATCTCGCTCAGTAATTGGACAATGATAAAACAGTTATGACACCACTACAGTGATATGTTGTCTGTATGAGGCCAAGAGCTTTTTTTATTGAAAACATCTTTTTTTGTTGTAGTCCTTTTATACAAGTTTTTGAATCTTTAGAATAGTTTTGTAGTTGAGAACAAAACTGTTTAGTATTGTAATAGGGTTCCCCTGTATTATTTCTACAGAGCATAGCATTTAAAATAAATGGCAATTTGCAATATTCTTAAATTTTAATTATTGTTATTAGTAAGAATTAATTAAAGATGCCGTAGAATGTCCTTTATTAACTGATATGCATATTTTGTCTCTTCATACTGTTAAACACCTTTTCGTAAAAAGGAATTTTTGTGAAAGTCCTTCAAATTTATGTATAACCGCATTTTTTCAAAGAGATCTATTTATAACTGTGCAACTGTAATCTATCTATATATAAATACAGGTTTTCAAAAAGATCTATTTCAATGTAACTGTAATCTATTTATAACCACATGTTTCCAAAGAGATCTATTTATAACTGTTTAACTGTTATCTATTTATAACCATGCTGTCAACTGTTTTATTACTGAACATGTGGTATTGTTGTTTAGCTAATAGGAAACTACCAGAATTCAATAACAATAATAAAACCATGAAAATGAAGTCAATATTTCTCATGTAAAAATAATAATATGTTATTTTTCTCAGTAAACAGACCCATCTGAGAGTTAGTTTTTACTACAAAAATATAGGGTAAGTTCCTCCCGTAACTCCGCCAATTTAGCTTGTCTGGACAAGCTCTGTGGCATTTTTCTTGGTATTTTTACATGAGCTAAGTTTAAAACTTTGTTACTTTCCTATTGGTTCTACCCATTTATCATTTTTGAATAATTTTGTTGTCTCAGGCTTCATTGACACCTGTGTACAGTACCTAGTCCTGTGTTTATGTGTAAGAGTTTTGTTATCATATAAACATTGATTGTATAAGGTTGTCACTTTTGAGACATTTCCATGAATTCGTTTTTATCTTAATTTCGAGTTCAATCTCGGGTCATAAATGTGATAATTATCAATAGTAATGGATAAAATGGTAAAAGGAACATGTCTTAGTTAACTATTTCTACCACAGCCACTGTGGGTCTAACAAAGCAATATATATATATAATGATAAAGTCTACCTCCAAGCTCTAGGAATCCATGCAACAACAAAATCAAAACCTTTATCTCATCAGTGTGTGTCTAGACTAGAGTTAAGATTAGGGTAAATAAGACTAGGGTTAAGATTAGAGTTAAGACTAGGCTCTTGGCCTTTGGTGACAGGAAATCAGTCCTTGGAGCTCTTGGTTACAGGGATTCAGTACTAGGAGCTCTTGGTGACAGGGATTCAGTACTAGGAGCTCTTGGTTACAGGGATTCAGTACTAGGAGCTCTTGTTGACAGGAAATCAGTCCTCGGAGCTCTTGGTTACAGGGATTCAGTACTAGGAGCTCTTGTTGACAGGAAATCAGTCCTCGGAGCTCTTGGTTACAGGGATTCAGTCCTCGGAGCTCTTGTTGACAGGAAATCAGTCCTCGGAGCTCTTGGTTACAGGGATTCAGTACTAGGAGCTCTTGTTGACAGGAAATCAGTCCTTGGAGCTCTTGGTTACAGGGATTCAGTCCTCGGAGCTCTTGTCTTTTTTTGTAGAGAAAATACTATAGATTGAATAGGAAGATAATTTTTCAATGCCTTTAGACAGCTGAAAAGTGGTGGGACTTTCTGTCTTACCCCCAGTAATAAACTTAGCACAACTGATTGTCCAAATCTACAGTTCAATTTCAAGGTATTTATATTATGTACTTAGTAAAGAGTTATGTACTTATCAATAAAATGTTGTATTCAGCACCATTTACATGCATTAACCATTTTGCACATTCGATAGAACATAATTTGTTGTAAACATGCTTGACAAAATTTTAGCATTCTCTTTTTTATATAATTGCTGTTTTGTGCTTTCATTTGTATATTAGATGTGACAACAACTTTGAAATTTATTACTTGATAAGATGATCTTAGATCAAACTTAGATTGTGAGAGCGATTTGGATAAACTCCTTAAACCTTGCAAATTATTATCATAAGCCTGTTAAAAGGTACGTTGATATAACTATACTCTGTTGTGAGGTATGATTATAGGTATTTGCAGTATGAATCATTCACACACTGTAGTTAATTTTCCTGAAGTTATACCAAAAGCTATTTAATTAGTTGAAAAGGTGTATATAGAAAAATGAAAATTGTAGATATATGTATTATTGCATAATACATGTACATATGTATAAATAAGTAGTGTTTTACCACTAATGAGCCCATGCTTGGACATATGTCCACCCTCTTACTTTCACAATTTCACAATAACAGTAACTATATAGATAAAGAAATACAGGAAAAGTGAACAGTTTTCTGATCAAGCTAATTAAGTTGAAGGTACGGAACATGAAATTTGTAATCGATCAATGAGATGTGACCAAACACACACTCACAAAAAAAATCAAAAAAAATCATCGTTTGAATGAAATGTCAAGGAGAGTTCCATGAGGTTATGCAAAGCGCGGCTTTAGTGACATCATTAAAAATGTTGTGAATGTTTTCAAATTTAAGAAGTAAATGGGTTGATTCATATTTCCTTTTGGTTTATGAAAATCAATTGTTCATCTGAACATATAACGGGCACAAGAGTTCCTAGTGTGTGATGATTTGTCGGTCATGTGTTATATCCTGTTTAAATGTTTTTATGTAATGTAGGTAATAAAGCAACCCCTCTCAACAATGACCACATTTTACTGGTCACTATACAGAGGTTTCACTGTGTAAACACAGACAAGATTAATGCTGTCGTGGTGTTCAAATTGTTTATTATTTAGATTTATGGTTTATATTTTGATGAATGATATTAATGAGTGAACTAAATAAAATGTAGGGGCTTTAAAATGAAAATTTTTGAAAATGGCATAATCTGATGACTTACAAGATTTGAAATTTATGCAATTTTTGTGTAATTTTTTTAAGCATTTCCTGCTTATATAGTTTATACCAAAGTTATTAATTTGTTAAAATCCATATATTTCGATGGTATGGGTAGCTTATTATCTCCCTTGCACTGTTTCAATTTGTTTTAATAAGAATTGTAATGATATCTTCTATAAAAAATAGATGTTTTTTGCCTTTCATGGAATATTGAACCTCTGTTTTACAGTTTTGAGTGTTTAAATAGAGGTTGATCAAACTACTGTTTCCATGATATAATATACCTTTTGTTTTACTACAGCTGTTTATATTCGTGTTTACCATATATATATACAACATTTTTAATCTGTGGCGTGAATATAGAGTAACTGTCCACTTATAGGCCTTATATGTATATTGTATTTGTTAGAAGACAATAGATATATTTAACTGTGAACTATATGTCTGACCTGTATTGTCTTCAGTTGATATAGTGTAAATTCCTATCATGATCAAGTTCTTTTAGTTTCAATTTCAGTAATTAGTTCCCGAGTCTTTAGTTCTGGAGAAAATTTACATGATAAAAGTTTTGTTGATCAATTAAACAGAAAGTGTTTTCTGAAATTAAAGTAACCAAGAAAGCTAGTTTTAAAAGAACAGAGATGAGAATAACTCGGGCTCAGCATTTATGTATTTGTATATACCATTTTCTCAGAAATAATAAGGGTACAATTTTTCTTTTATCTACCATTCTGACCAATTTGAATGTAAATGTGTTGATTCATTACATTAGAAAGCATAATTTTTGTGATTTTGTTTCATTCTGTTGCCATAGATTTAAATGTATTCTTAATTCATTTTTAGCTTTAACACAATATTGATTGTTTTGCCTGTTTTATAGTAACAGTAAGACACAGCAGTAATCTACTCCATTTACAATCAACAGAAAACAAAAGAAATAACCTTCCACACTTCCTGATTTATATCAACCTTTTTTATGAAAGAAAAACCGAAAAAAGAGGTTGTAAGATTGTAAGATTTCTATTCTGTATAAGAGTTTACAATCTTAATGGAGTATCCTGTGTAATTTGAGTTTTAATTTTTAAATAGTATTGGATTCCAATTTCTAAAAATCAATGCTTCTTAAATCATGTTTAATCAATCTTCTATTGTCTAAACTTGTTGATTATGTATGCTATTGTTTGTTAGCAGCAGATAAAATCATTTAAAACAGACTGTAAATTAAAAGTGTTTATTTAACAAAAATATATGTATTGTATAAAATCTTGAATTACAATTTTAACAAAATCTCCACAAAATATAAACACTCTGTAGACATGTATTTACAAATATTTCTTGAAATATTGGAACCGACTCTTTAATGTTAAAAAAATAGTTCAATTATAAAATGCCGTAAAAATGTTACAAACAGCATTTGATTATTTACAATATAAAAATATATACACAAAATTTCTTACATATTTTAACATAAAACTTGAAACAGAAATAGTGAATCTCTTTCAATTTATTGCATAGAAACATAACTGTATACAGATTTGATTCCAGTGTTCTTTTTTGCATTGATGCAGTTTTTGAAATGTGGTTTTGAGTATGTTGAATTTGAAGTATTTCTTTAACAGAAATGCAAACTGTAGTATGGTTTTCAAAGATACCTACAAAAAGACTGCCAAGAAAAAATACCCTGAAAATCAAATCTTTTCATATTGTTACTGTTTTTTTTCCCTGTTGATATTTTCCACATGTTGAGTTTATAAGAAACTTGTGTTGTTAAACTTTAATTTCTAATGAATAAATCATTACCCATCATTATGTTTGCTTTACTTTTTAGCCATCATCATCCATGGTCATCCATGGTCTGTTCGTCTTTAAACAATTATTGTTATCACTTTTTCTCAAGAAGTACCAGGTGTATCTTTCTCAAATATCATAAGGTTCCTCTTGGTCCTTTGTTGTTCCTGTTCGTTTTGAAATTGATAGGAAGAAGATGATGATCACCAAGCAGCCATCTTGAATTTTGATATTTCAAGATTGTTGGCACTATTTTTCAAGAAGGACTCGACATATCTCTCTCAAATTTCCTATGTTTGTTTCCCTTGTACCTAAGTTAGTTTTGTTTCGTTTTGAGACTGATCAGAAAAATAAGATGGTCACCAGACAGTCATCTTGAGTTTTTAAATTTCAAGATTGTTATTACTATTTCCCAAGAAGTCCTAAACAGATATTTTCAAAATTCATTTGTAGGTTCCATTAGTCTGTAGATGTTTCCCTTGTTAAGGATTTCCCTTGTACCTAAGTTAGTTTTGTTTCATTTTGAGACTGATCAGAAAAATAAGATGGCCACCAGACAGACAGTCATCTTGAGTTTTTAAATTTTAAGATTGTTATTACTATTTTATAGGAAGTCCTAAACAGATATTTTCAAAATTCATATGTAGGTTTTATTAGTCTGTAGATGCCGGACAGCCATCTTGGATCTTTACATTTAAAGTTTGTTACCATTTCTTCTCGAGAAGTACCTGACATATCTTCCTCAAACTGAGTATGGGTGTATCAATTTCAAACCTGATCAGAAGGACAGGATTGGTACCAGACAGTCATCTTAGATAGATGTCAGCATTGTTGTTGCCATTTCTCAGAAAGTCCTAAACTGACCTTCTTTAATTCTGTAAGTAGGTGCCTCCTGGTCCATAGTTGTAGGTGTCTCCTGGTCCATAGTTGTGCATGTTCAATTTGGAGCCAGATGGGGGGGAATATGATGGTTGCCAAGTGACCATTTTGGACAAATTTGACATTTAAAATGTTATTATTCCTCAAAAGTACCGGAGGGATTTTTTGAAGTTCCTATCCAGTCTTCTCTTGATTTGTTCTTAAATAATTGGAAAAAAGATGGCCACCTGGCAGACATCTTAAATTTGACTGTTGAAGTTAGCTATTGCTAATTCTCAGAAAGTAAATTACAGATCTTTATGAAATTTTACAGGTAGGTTCTTCTGTTTCCGAGTTTTGTCATCTCATTCTAATGTTCAAGCTGTTTGAGAATAAGAAAGTATGACAACCAGAAATCAGAAATCTCTCTGTCTATTTTCACACTCTAGTTATTGTGATAGCAAATAGATCAAATGACAACCTCACTTTGGAAAGACAAATCACAAAAGCCTGGGTTTCATAGGCAAATCAATACAAAAATACCAGAAAATATCATACAAAGTATTTCATTGCATATAAAACTGGCAACTGAGACTTTTCTTCATTGGCACAAAACAAAACCCCATGTCTTTTCCCCAGCTCGAAAGTATTAATATTCTTTTTCATATTATGGTTATCATGGTAGTTTCTTATACACTTTATAAAATACCTTGTATCTACTTCAGCTTTATGCCAACCCAATGCTATCCTTCTTCACAGTATCGAAAACCTCTTTGAGTGCTGGTTCCTTGGAGCCCAAAGGAAAATCTGGATGCGCCGTTGACTTCTTCAGTCGCCCGTTCGTTCTTTGTCAAGAGTATGTAACCTTGATAAATGATTGGCCTTACTGAGTCGTGCTAGCTTTCCTCCGATGTTGTCTCGCGACTACTATGATGCCATCCTCTCGTCACGTGCACTCTAGTACTGTCATGTGACTGTATGACCTGCTGTCATGTGACTGTATAAGTGATTGTATGACCTGGTGTCGTGGGACTGTCAAAGTAGTTGTGTGACCTGCTGTGGTGTGACCGTATGACCTGCTGTCGTGGGACTGTCAAAGTGGCTATATGACATTGACAGTATGACCTGCTGTCGGGGTACTGTCAAAGTAGCTGTGTGACCTGCGGTGGTGTGACCGTATGACCTGCTGTCGTGGGACTGTCAAAGTAGCTGTGTGACCTGCGGTGGTGTGACCGTATGGCCTGCTGTCGTGGGACTGTGAAAGCAGTTGTGTGACCTGCTGTCAAAGGGATAGTATGACCTGCTGTGATGTGACAGTATGACCTGCTGTCGGGGGACTGTCAAAGTAGCTGTGTGACCTGCTGTGGTGTGACAGTATGACCTGCTGTGATGTGACAGTATGACCTGATGTCGTGTGTCTGTCAAAGTGGCTGTGTGACCTATTGTGGTGTGACAGTATGACCTGCTGTCAAAGTGACAGTATGACCTATTGCCGTGTGACAGTATGACCTGCTGCCAAAGGGGCTGTGTGATCTGCTGTGGTGTGACAGTATGATCTGATGTCGTGAGACTGTCAAAGTGGCTATTTGACCTGCTTTCAAAGTGACAGTATGACCTGCTGTGGGGTGACAGTATGACCTGATGTCGTGTGACTGTATAAGTGACAGTATGACCTGCTGTCAACGTGACAGTATGACCTATTGCGGTCTGACAGTATGACCTGCTGCCAAAGGGGCTGTGTGACTTGCTGTCAAGGTGCCAGTATGACCTGGTGTCGTGGGACTGTCAAAGTGGTTGTATGACCTGCTGTCAAAGTGACAGTACGACCTGCTGTGTTGTGACAGTATGGTGTCGTGGGACTGTCAAAGTAGTTGTGTGACCTGCTGTGGTGTGACAGTATGACATGATGTCGTGAGACTGTCAAAGTGGCTATTTGACCTGCTTTCAAAGTGACAGTATGACCTGCTGTGGTGTGACAGTATGACCTGATGTCGTGGGACTGTCAAAGTAGCTGTATGACCTGCTGTCAAGGTGACATTATGACCTGCTGTGGTATGACAGTATGACCTGCTGTCAAAACGACTGTGTGATCTGCTGTCAAATTGACAGTATGACCTATTATTGTGTGACAGTATGACCTGCTGTGGTGTGACAGTATGACCTGATGTCGTGGGACTGTCAAAGTAGCTGTATGACCTGCTGTCAAGGTGACATTATGACCTGCTGTGGTATGACAGTATGACCTGCTGTCAAAACGACTGTGTGATCTGCTGTCTAATTGACAGTATGACCTATTATTGTGTGACAGTATGACCTGGTGTCATGTGACTGTCAAATTGACTTATGACCTTCTGTCAAAGTGACAGTATGACCTGCTGTGGTGTGACCGTATGACCTGCTGTTGTGGGACTGTGAAAGCGGTTGTGTGACCTGCTGTCAAAGTGATAGTATGACCTGCTGTGATGTGACAGTATGACCTGCTGTCGTGGGACTGTCAAAGTAGCTGTGTGACCTGCTGTGGTGTGACTGTATGACCTGCTGTGGTGTGACCGTATGACCTGCTGTCAAAGTGACAGTATGACCTGATGTCGTGTGTCTGTCAAAGTGGCTGTGTGACCTATTGCGGTGTGACAGTATGACCTGCTGTCAAAGTGACAGTATGACCTTATGTCGTGTGTCTGTCAAAGTGGCTGTGTGACCTTTTGCGGTGTGACAGTATGACCTGCTGGCAAAGTGACAGTAAGACCTATTGGGGTGTGACAGTATGACCTGCTGCCAAAGTGGCTGTGTGATCTGCTGTGGTGTGACAGTATGACCTGATGTCAAGGTAGCTGTGTGACCTGCTGAGGTGTGACAGTATGACCTGCTGTCAAAGGGACAGTATGACCTGATGTCGTGTGTCTGTGAAAGCGGCTGTGTGACCTGCTGTCAAAGTGATAGTATGACCTGCTGTGATGTGAGAGTATGACCTGCTGTCGTGGGACTGTCAAGGTAGCTGTGTGACCTGCTGTGGTGTGACAGTATGACCTGCTGTCAAAGTGACAGTATGACCTGATGTCGTGTGTCTGTCAAAGTGTCTGTGTGACCTTTTGCGGTGTGACAGTATGACCTGCTGTCAAAGTGACAGTATGACCTATTGCGGTGTGACAGTATGACCTGCTGCCAAAGTGGCTGTGTGATCTGCTGTGGTGTGACAGTATGACCTGCTGTGGTATGACAGTATGACCTGCTGTGGTATGACAGTATGACCTGATGTCGTGAGACTGTCAAAGTGGCTGTGTGAGCTGCTGTCAAAGTGACAGTATGACCTGGTGTCGTGGGACTGTCAAAGTGGTTGTATGACCTGCTGTCAAAGTGACAGTATGACCTGCTGTCGTGGGACTGTCAAAGTGGCTATATGACATGCTGTCAAAGTAACAGAATGACCTGCTGTCGTGGGACTGTCAAATTGGCTGTGTTACCTGCTGTCAAAGTGACAATATGACCTGCTGTGGTGTGACAGTATGACCTGATGTCGTGGTACTGTCAAAGTAGCTGTATGACCTGCTGTCAAGGTGACAATATGACCTGCTGTGGTGTGACAGTGTGACCTGCTGTCAAGGTGACATTATGACCTGCTG